TATAATTGACCTTGACTGTCGTTAGAATCCTGGTATAAATGTATTTAGCGAAAATTTTCTGTTTTATTAATAGTGTGGCCATTTCTGTGATCGACTGGCCACATCCATGGCCAGGGGAAAAAAATTGGTTGCCCACCAATGCGCTAGAGGAATAAAATGTTACACTATTTTCGTTATTGATGGTAATGGACTGGACTTTAAAGAAATTCCTTTGTACGAACTTACAGTTAAGTCTCAATATGCATTCATTGTCATTTAGAAAAATAATTACCTCTTGAAACACACACACGATGCGCCTTCAGTTTCATATAAGGTTTCTGATGCCTAATTCTCAAAGCTCTTTTATAGTATTATTTCTTATTAATAGTTGTCAGTTATTGTTAATTGTTTTTAAACTATTTTTGAGATTCAAATAATGTTTAGTCTAGCTAAAAGTGTATCATAAGGTAAAACACACTTTCAGGAGTTAACGAAATATTTTTCATAGAAAATATTTTGTGCCGGTGAAATCATTTCTACTACACTTAAAAGTTAAAGTCTAAATGTGTCTACATTTTTGTGAGTATTATTGTAAATGAACATATGAGTTTTCAATGAATAAAAACTAAATATCTTATACTTTTACTTTTCCTCTTATAATATACTTTTAATTTTTTTCACATTAACTTATTACCAAAAATTAAATAATCTTTATTACATGTTATCGATGTATATCTTTTTACTGATCATGAAAAGAAATTTACATTTTATTAATTCATGTCTAAGTAGGTATTTGGATATTTTATACGTAAATATTTTAAACGCTCCCAGATTGGTATGTTAGCGGAAGTGACGGCACCACTTTACTGGTAGTGCAGCTGATGTTGAAGTTCGTATCTGATCTGAGGGTGTTACCCTAGATGCTAAACGAAGCATTAAATCTGAAGTTTCAAGGCAATTATTCGGGTAAAGTAATGGTAGAGGAGATATTTTAACTTAACGTATTTTTAAAGAAATCGTTAATTTGTTTGAAAATCCCTCTTTAGAGGGTGAAGATGGCGAAAACTTACGATTATTTATTCAAGTTGCTTTTGATCGGGGATTCGGGCGTTGGAAAAACTTGTATTCTTTTCCGTTTTTCGGAAGATGCTTTTAACGCAACTTTTATTTCAACTATAGGTAAGATGAATAAGAATGCTAGGCCTGACTTAATTAAATATCATAGAATGAAAGCTTAAGAACTTAACGATTACTTAAAGCACTTTTTTTAGCGATTTGGGTAAATCATGCAACCCTAATAGATACCCAAGAGTTTAAGGTTGTAGTCTAATAGTTGGGGTATTTCGAATTGTTTTAACTAATTTAAACTTAAAAAGTTTAAGATAAGCGTTAAAAGTGGCAAGAAATAAATTAATTTTGGCAAAATTTAGAGCTAAAAATATGCTAATTCGATTACATTATCATGAATAAATATTATCCTTTCGCTATTAACAGGGATGGTATCTAACAGATAAATCAATGCATTCTTTAATAAAATAAAGGAAGGCAACTAGTTGATTGAAACTGTTATCATTTCAACAAGCTTTAGTCACACTTCCATGGTGGTGCCAACAGGAAACAATGTTTATTAGATACATATTTGTAATGCAAACTTTGGATAACATTATATTGACAGGACTGAGGAAGTTCTAGACATGTAAAACGATTTTTTTAAAACTTAAATTCAACTGAAATGTTCAGTCCAATCCTTAAAATAGAACATAATATTTATTGACAAATAATAAATATGGCTCATATAATTTGCAGGCATAAATTCACAAGCTTAGATTTGGATAAATCATGTAACTGATGATCTAAACATACTGATGGCAAGAGACCATTTCATTCTTCTTTATGTGGTACACAAATGCATTTTACTATTAAGTATTTCTTTAGTTAGTAAATTCAACATGTTTACTTCATCAATAGTTATATGTGGTTTTTACAAAGGAATGTGACTAAGTTTCTTTCACTCTAGTTACTATTGTTGTGAGTCATTCCATAATAGTGTTATGTGCATTTTTTCTTTTTTGGCCTGCCACAGTTTCTTATACTTAAATATGTAAAACTTTTTAAAGTTTTATTTAAATTAAATTGTTTTAAAGCAACTACTCTTTCATGACATTGATTTGTTACTAAAATGAAAATGTCTTCATTCTTCCTGACACTTTTAGTGAGACCGATTGTCTCTCTAGATGACCAAATTGACAAGGGTAATATTTGTACAGTTAGAAGAATGTTGTCATAGAATCTTGCATATAATGCCATGCTCTTGTAGTATGGATCAAGTAACAGTCTTAGTTTAAAGTGATAAGGCAAAGGATATATTCAAATTTCCAGTAAAGGTTCTGTCCTCTGTAGAGCATTTGTGACTTTGTTTGTTTTTGAATAAATAAAGATTACTTGTATGGTGTATTTGATCTCTCTTTTGTTCAAAGTCAGAAAACTTGTATTTATTCCCGTTTCCTGATTATACCTCTTGTTATTTGCTGATACAACCTGAAAGCTAAATCAGCATAACTGAGAATACCATCTCATATCCTGAGCAGAAGTAAAAAAATATTTAAACCGACCTTTTATTTTTTAAGGAATTCATTGATTACCTTTCTTAAAATATGGCCTTTTTTCAAGGACATTGCTTGTTATCTGGATGATGGAAAAGGTGTGGGCTTAGTATACTTATATTTATAAAAGCTTCTAATAAGGTACTACATTAAAATTTAGCTTAGAAAGTCACAATGGTAAGGACTGGAGAAAGACTAGTTAATTCGGATGTAAGATGGTTGATTGTGAGAAAACAATGGAGTTCAGTCAAACTAGAACCCTTGTTACGTGGAGACGTCCTTGGACCTTGTTTTTTTCTTACTTGGTTCTTCAGGACTTGATCTTTAACACCCACCCTTGAGAAAAAACAAATTGTAACTGACCCACTGCTGTTTTTTGATTATCTGTAGGGTATATTTCGCTAAATGTTGTTTGCATCAAAAAAAACTTGTAATATTTTAGATATACTCTATTCAACTATGAACAGTCAGCACATAACTGTGTTGGTGAAGAGATATGCCTGAAAAATACAGATATAACGGTATATATGTAATTATGACATGTTTTGATTATTGACATGTCGTCAATCTGGTGTGAAGACTAGACACTAATATGTAGATTGTAGTTGAAATATGAAGAAGAGACTGACAAATATGCAGAATTCTATGTTCATAGAAATGTGTCCACAGTAAGAGACTTGATATGCATCAGATGCTGAATGAATACCAGGTTGACAATTCAGCTCAATTAATTTTGTTGGTGTTGTAACTGAACATGTATTCGGGAAGTTTATATTTAATGTTGATGGTGTGAAGTGTATTTGTATAGTAAATTCTAAACTTCCTTATCTTGTTTACACAGTGAGTCATCTGAGATGTTACAGAAACTTTTATGATTCCTTCTTCACTGCTTTCTCATAAAATAATCTGTCATATATTTTCAAAAGTTAGTCACATTGATAATTACTTTTAGACTCTGAGATAAAACATAGAAGATCAATAATACATTTCCAAATAATGTTTCATGGTACATGTACAAACTATAAAAAGTCTGATTGTAGTTAATAGTGAGCCTTTTCTAGTAACTGTTGTCATGAAACAGTAGTGGTGCTTAATTTCCTGTTGTCATATTATTGTTAATTTTTTATCTAAATGAACATTTCTTTTATTTCTTGGTCTTTGTGGTCTGTTAGTGTATAGTTCTCAAGTGAGCACTTTAGGATATATTACAGTTGTTTATAAGATAAAGGTATTGAAGTTGGATTTTTGTATAGTTCCCAAGTGAGCACTTTAGGATGTATTACAGTCTTGTTTATAAGATAAAGGTATTGAAGTTGGATTTTTGTATAGTTCCCAAGTGAGCACTTTAGGATATATTACAGTCTTGTTTATACGGTGAAAGTATTGAAGTTGGATTTTTTGTATAGTTCCCAAGTGAGCACTTTAGGATATACGAGCTTTGTTGTGTGTTGCTGAGTTATTCTCACTTTTTAAATTTCACTTTAATATTTGTAAGTAATCTCAGTTACAATTATTTATTCAGTGTTTTTCCAAGGTTTCTGAATGCAGTAAAGTACGTTTAGTTGAAGTAAAGTCTTTAGATTATGTTAGACAAATGTTAAGGATGTGCATCTTGTTCATAGTTACTGGGCTTCACTACTTGTTTGTTTCTTTCAAAACAGGCATAGACTTCAAAATTCGAACTATAGAGCTGGATGGGAAAAAGATAAAACTACAAATATGGTAAGTTAAGCTAGGATCATCAAAAAGGTCTTAATTATTGAATATTTAATAACATCTGTGTAATTCTCTATGTTGCTCCCATAAGATACATAGTTTTTAATGTATATGGGTAATGATTTTAAATCAGGGTTTCGTTTACATTCACTTTTTTTTGTACCTCTAATAGGTCACATTTATATGTACTTAATGACATCTCGCCGACTGCATGCTTATGTCAGTGGTAGTCTAATAGAGATGATGAAATAATTACTTGAACAAACATAAATACTCTTAATGGTTTGCAGCTTTAATTAGAAGTTCTGGATTGAATCTGATTCCACTGTGAAATACCTATAATAGGAGACCATTCATAGATGCATTGTATAGATTTGCTAACATTTATTTGTTGAAGCTCCCATCAGGGCCATGTTTCATTGTCATGATATACTTCTATTGATCTAGTAGTCATCATGGTTTAAACATAAGTAAACATTTTTTTAAAGCCTGTCTGCTGTGATTACTTATTGTCTTTAAAATTCACAACTTCAAATAGGCAGTGAGAAAAATTTGAATTTTTTTTGGGGGGCACCTTATTTGCTATGTTAACTGTGACCATTTAATTCAAAGTTGAAACAGCAACTTTCCTTGCTAATTATACACAGGTCTCTGTTCCCATTTAAGGTAGGGGCACACAAGTCCCCCCTCTTCCCACTAAATTCAAATTAAAATAAGTGCTTTTCTATCAAGTATTATATTTGAATTTGAGCCCTGTGTACCAAGAATAAACATGCTCTCATGTTGTAAAGTGTTAAGTTGCTGCTGCTTGTAGTGAGGAGCTTTGGTATAAACTGTGAAATATATGTACTTGATAGGTTTGAGGTTATGTGTCCTGACCTTTGTATAATTTCAAGGTTGGACACATTCAAGTTCAATGTTTAGCTAGATACTAAAGTTACTGATTTAATCAAAGTCTCTATTGCTTCCATCGATGGAAGTTGTGGTAAATAATCTGATAATTACCAGGGAATGAAAGAAGTAATGAAATGTTAAGCCTTTGTTATTTCTTTCTGTTTTAATTGTTGTCATTTATATAACCCTTATTCACATTCGTGTATGTTTAAAGGTGTAAGGGACAAATCTATATGTTTATAAGCCAGACTTTGTTGGTTTACCCTGTGAAAAAGTTTTAGCTGTAAGTATGAATCATTTACCAAAAACAAAGCCTTAGTAATTATATGCTATTTTGATATAAACTGAGGAAAATATTGAAGTTAATTGACTAACCAGAGTAATCTGTATTAAAGCAAAACTTCCTTTCTCTGCTATTGTGAAATATGTCCACTTTTTCCACTTAACTCAGATATAAAATACACTATAGAAATAAATATATTTGTGAAGATTAGTTGTTTTTTTTTGTGTGTGTATGTTTGCAGATTTGGCATTGATACATAATAACTAACATGTAAATTGTGTTTACTGTTATCTTACATATGTATTATGGGATTTTTGAGTTTATATTAATGCACCACTCAATCTCAAGAACCTGTTTTGTGTGTATTTTAGGGAAGTGTTCAGTTAAGATGCCAAATAAATTTCATCTTTCAAAATGTTTAGATGTACATCTTCTTTACACGTTTCTGACAATGGAAATACATTGTTCAAGTTTGCAGGCATAAAAAACAAATACATTTGATTAATTCTTTCAAATGTGAAAAGTTGGGGTATTCTTTCAACTTTAAAACTTGGCAGCTTACTTTTGGAAACACTAAACGTACCTGTACTTACAGAGATATGTGTTGATGTATAGTTCCATGGATATGCTAGTAAAACAGCAGTGCTTAAAGTTATAGCTAAGATGTTTTAACAAGCCAGGCCTTTGGAGTTATTTGAAACATGTGAAATGTGCATATAATTATAATATAAAACTATTTCTGATCTTAAATGGTTAAGCTCATGAATAACTTGAACAGACTGAATGTAAATTTATGTTATTTACTTGAATACTAATGCTGATTTTTATGTGTAAATAATTTATGTTCCAGGATAAGCTGCACAAACAAGAATGTAGCTATATGCACTATGTGTATCACATGATGATATTGTTTTAACACGGTAGTTTATTTTATGGTCTATCAGTGGTATAACTTTTGTAGAGGCTCAAGTATGAGTTATACCTTGTGTGGTATAATTTCATGAGTTTTTTAAATAATTACTTTCACAATTGTATTTTTTTTTCATTTTTCACAATTTGTCTATCATCAGGGATACTGCTGGTCAAGAAAGGTTTCGCACAATAACTACAGCGTACTACAGAGGAGCAATGGTAAGATTAACATCAATTTGTTGTACTGTGTTGTTTTTTTATCTGTAGTCAGTTTGCGTGTTTATATGTATGTATTCTATATATATACATTAAACCGAAGTTGGATTTTAAACCAGAAGAACTTATGAGATTTTGTTTTTAGAATACCTCAACATTATAATATTGAATAAGCGCTATTAAATCATTTTACTTATTGTGATGGATAGAAAAGTTACTATACAAGATTCTTAGTACTGAGAGTTATTTTTCTTTATTATTTTTAGTTGTGATCAAAATCAAAAGTTTTTGTACACTCGTGGGTAGCAAACTGTACATATTAATGTAAAATCTTACAATATATAAGAATTGGTCGGTAGGTGTTCACTTTCCCAGGTGACATAGCACCTTCTCTTGTGACATTAGCTAAATTAAGGTAGTTCTGACTGTTTTATATTTAAAAACATTACCTAGGATATTTTAAAATCAAAACCAAGGACACGTGTTTTTTTTGCAAGGTTTGGTTGTTCATTATGTTGAGTGAATTGCTGTATAAAGAATATATCTGTTAGTCAGTACTAGTAGTTATAAATGTTTTATTCAAAAACTTCTGGTTTGGAATTATGCTGAACATGTACTGACGCTCCTGTTATTCAGTACAAGTCTGTTTACTAGCGTATTCCTAATGAAATTATTCACTTAAATTTTGTCATTTTTCCAGTTTTTCCAGAGATTTAACTTTCTCAGATTCTTAGGGTAGGTAAACTATCTATGAAAGATGTAAGGAACGATCCTTTTAGTGTTACAGGTTTCCGATTCAGTCTGAAGCTTGGTGAATTGAAAGCATGCTTGATATCTTGTTGGAGTTTCAGAACTTATCGGTTGTGATTTGGTCGTTGTAAGTGAATGTTCCATGTAACAATGAGTCAGGAAATAAAGTAATTGGTTTTCTTCTACATGACTCATTAAACTTGTTAAATGTGATGAAATATCACATTTTGCTTAGCCACTGTCATTTTTTTTTTTTGCACGGGTTTTATCCTGCCCTGAAGGTTTCAAGGGTTTTCATTGATAAACATTTGAAGAAAAAATTGTATTTTAAAAGAACTATCTGTGGAAACATGAAGAGTTCAATTAATGATAAAAAAAACAAGCATCTACCCCTCACATAAATGTCTAGTGTGACATGTTAGGGCATTTGATTCACAATCTGTGGATTGAATTTTGGTGTTGAACGTTCTCCACCTTTCACTCTTGGGGCATTAAATGTGACAGTCAATCCTACTTCTCATCAGCAAAGAGTAGCTTAAGGTTTGGCATTGGGTGCTGCTGGCTGGTTACTTTTCCTGTGATTGGTCTGTTCAAAGTTGGAGATGGTGGTGGGTGCTGCTGGCTGGTTACTTTTCCTGTGATTGCCAGTTCAAAGTTGGAGATGGCAGTGGGTGCTGCTGACTGGTTACATTTCCTGTGATTGGCCAGTTCAAAGTTGGAGATGGCAGTGGGTGCTGCTGACTGGTTATTTTTCCAGTAATTGGCCAGTTCAAAGTTGGAGATGGCAGCAGGTAGCCTAAGTAGCTTTGCCATGAATAAGAAAATAAACCGTTGACTATTGTCATCATGCTAACATATCATTTATAGTAAACTCCTGAGTATTGTCTTCGTCATTTCTTCCAACTAACGTTTAGACCAATGGGCATAAACTTCCCCTCTTATTTCACCGTAGCATACAACAAGCCATCCTTCATTCCTCGTACACTTTCGAAACTCCTGATAATCACTAAAGTATTTCTGCTATGATGCAATATATTTATCAGTGTACCTTTTTTATTTTCTAGTTTAGTCACTCTCTTTAGACAGATACAAAGTCCAGGAGATAAACAAGTTTTTAATTGTCAGTAACTTCTTTTAAATACAAGCGTTTTAATGTTTTTTTTTATCATCGAGCACATTAAATATACATGCAGCGAATGTTTATAAATACAAATGATGCAGTTCTTGGGGCTATTCCTAGGGGATTATGCTGGTCTATGATGTGACCAATGAGAAATCATTTGAAAACATCAAGAACTGGATAAGGAACATTGAAGAGGTAATTATCAGAACGTTTTTACAGAGATTACTTTCAATATTTGTTTTTGTATTTTCGTACGTATAGTTTTTTTTATACGGTTTTATACAGCATTAATAGAAAAAAAATTATCTTTCCTTTATTTACTAGTTGAGATTCCACGTTTTATTCCCTCATTTTTGTTAAATAAAACATAAATAATCAGAGCAGTAATGTGTATTTTTTTTATTTGTACATAAGTCACATCATTCACATTTCAACAATAATATTAAATTGTTTTTTTTACACACTTTTATTTCTCGTCAAAAATTAATTTCAAAAAAGGAAGAGAATCAGTTTTATTTTATCTTCTCCCCTGTATTAGTAACACAAAAAATGTTTTTAATTACTTATTATATAAAAAAAAAATGTTTGAAAATTATTGAGTCTGTTTGTGAGACTTTTTTTGCTGTTGAATCTGTAGAACTTAGGTTAAGATCTGTGTGCTAAAACAGGTTTTACCGAAGAGAACTATTTATTATACGGTAGTGATTGAAACTTATTATTAATTGGAAAGTAATCTGTCTGAAAGTTTTTTTTTCTTTACTGTAATCCTATATAAAATTTATGAATGGGATTATTTTTAGCACATTGAAGCAAAGAAAAGATCTGGTACTCATTTGTATTGAAAATCTTTTGATAATGCTATCATGGGTAGCAGTAAGTAATTAAATTGAGGAACTCTGTTTCAGTTTTTTTTTTCTTTACTGTAATCCTATATAAAATTTATGAATGGGATTATTTTTAGCACATTGAAGCAAAGAAAAGATCTGGTACTCATTTCTATTGAAAATCTTTTGATAATAATATCATCGATAGCAGTAAGCAATTAAATTGAGGAACTCTGTTTCAGTTTTTTTTTTCTTTACTGTAATCCTATATAAAATTTATGAATGGGATTATTTTTAGCACATTGAAGCAAAGAAAAGATCTGGTACTCATTTCTGGTAAAAATCTTTTGATAATACTATCATCGATAGCAGTAAGCAATTAAATTGAGGAACTCTGTTTCAGCATGCTTCGGCTGATGTCGAAAAGATGGTACTGGGTAATAAATGTGATGTGAATGAGAGGAGGCAGGTGTCCAAAGAAC